CATGGTAACTTACAAAACTGCTGTGGAGTGCTGCCATGTTGCAAAGGACTGGGTACCATCTGGAGTCTCGAGTGTCACCTTGAAGTGGGCGGGCACACCAGGACGAGCTGGCACCGTGTTGACGATGGCAGGCACATTGCCGGAGGCCAGAGCACCACCCGACAAGGCCTGGCAGCCCATGTGAACACTCTGTTGAGGCGCAACGAAGGTTGGCTGGCTCGGTGCGCAGAAGCTGCGAAGCACGGCAACGCAGCAAGCCGCGGCCACGAGCACTGGCAAGGTGCGACTCTGGGAAGCCATTGCGACCAAACGTCCACTAGTTCCAGCAGCTGAAGTTCAAGGACCCTTTGTAGCTTGAGCAATGGCACCGGCCATGACGGATCTTTTTTCTAGGTGTAGAGTGTAAGTAGTTTCTCACTTGCATTAGCTCTCCAATCGCATCTCCATCCCGGCCAGTACCGGGAGCTTGGAGGCTGAATCCGAAATCCATACGTCCAATGTCACGGCGACGGGCTAGCCTTAACACTTTGGAAGCCGGAGGGCGAGCTGAAATCCGATGTCGTCGTGGTCGGACATATCCAGTATGTTGATGTCCATTTGAGAAGTCAGCACTCTTGTGCTGAAGCCTCTCAGGCTCTACACTTGACATAAAAGTACCCCGGGCCTTGAAGCCTTCCCTCCCAAACTCGAAGACAAGGAATCCCATGAACCCAACATCCAGGCTGGGACGTCCAGGGGCCCAACATCCAGGAACCGACAGGCCGAGACTTTCGACAGGAGTCCTACACGAGTCTCAAGAATCCAGGCTGGGCTGGCCTATGTTCCGTGCGGTTTCTAGCTTGTCGCCGGTGAGGACCCAGAGCCTCACAGAGTGACGGGAGGCATGAAAGAAAAAACAAAACAAAAAAGGAGTGAACAAACACATCCTCCATTCTAAATTCCAACTTGCACATCTGAGTCACCTGAACTAACGCCAGGTCGCTTGATCCCCGCTTTGCGGATGTTCTCGATGGTCTCGGGTACCCCATCCTCCGATATGATTTGCAGCCATTGCAAAATGCAACTTGTGTGGCGGCGAGGGCAGGCAAAGAGGGAGCCAAGAGAGGGCCAAAAAAGAGGACTGCAACCTGCACAGGCGGACTTTCTGCTACTTCGCCCGTTATACTACCAGACGGCCTGGCCAGAGCACGAAGAAACACCCTTAGACTGTCAAGCATGTTCCCATACCCCGCCCGGACCTGGCTGCTACTGCTCTATACTATGTTTACTCGCTGATCTCTTTCACCTCCATATCGCTGGAGCATGGCCTGGAGCTTGTCTTCAATGGCCGTCGCGCCGAGAATGGTAAGATTCTTCTCGATTTCTTCGGCCACTTGCCTGTGCTGTGGAAGCGCGACCGTTTACTGCAGAACCCTTTCCATCCAGGTGCGGTAGAGTGCGACGCACGATGACCTCTATTCGTATGTTGTGCTTAGTTAGGGCTGAGTGCTCTCAGAGAGAAGTTATTACATGTCCCTGTCCCACTATGCTAAGTGTCTGAAACTTGCCCTCCACTTCCTTCGGGGTTTCTTCCAAGATGATGTGAAACGTCTTTATGCTTCTGCGCGCAACTATGCTCCAGTCTCAATCAGTCGCTACCATGGCATGATACTTGGTTCACTCAACATGCCATCACGACCTGTAGGGCCGTAGCAAACCACGACTAACTGCATGCCCAAAACGGATCAAGCATCTAGGAAAGAATGCCATACCCTGATAATGACACCCGAACCGATGGGAGGATGGAGTCGAGAAGCTCCAACTTTTTGTCCCGGTCAGTCGTTGCCCGCTGGGCCTTGCACTTAGGATCGGCAGAGGAACCGCGGATTCAGGTTGAGCGTTGCAGACATTCGATTGGGGAGTCTGTTCAGCCGAGCACAGACGGCCAACTTGTCCATCACGGCTCAGTCAAACCCTGTTTGTGAAACATGCGTGATGGTACGACCCGACCTCTTCATAGCGTGCAAGCCACGAGGAGACCTGCATGTGAGACTATTTACTCGTTGTGAGCAAGATCCAGACGAAGCTTTTGCTATCACCGCTCGATGTCAGCTACGGGAAAGCAACGACTGTCCAATGCATGCTCGAGAACGCTTCTGCCGACCATAATTAGCTATTCCTGCAATTTGGATGACGAGCTCCTACAATCCTACAACTATTTTGACTCCCCGAGAGTTGCTGTGATGGCAGCGGCCTCGGTCATCTGCAGGCTCCGCGAGCCCAGGACGAGCGTTCTGAGGCCTTGAAACAGCTGGGACACTCCGATGAACCTCGCAAGTACTGCAAGCACTGAAGACATGAACCCCAAAATGACGCGCCGTGCCTTGTTCCGAGAACTCGGTCAGGTCTGCTTCCAGTGGCCTCTGTGGACTGCTAGCCCTTTCCAGCATGACCTGCACAGGGCATCATACTGTAGCATGGTGTAAGAAAAACTCATCTGCACGCGCAAGTCTGGAGTAGTAGTCTCCTGACAAGTCGCCACTTTCGATCCTTCAGAGTTCCGAAAACAGATCCCAGAAGAGGGCCATCCCAGAATAGAATCCAGCTCAGCGTTCAGCACACCCCCTGTGGGCGACCTTCAATTCTTGGCGAGTCAAAGTATATCGGAAGGGCTTGGGTCTGCATCTGTGCGTGTCCGTTCGTTCCCTCGCTGGTCGAGTGTTTTTACCTGTTGGCAGGGTCGCGAATTTCCAGCTGCGTTTGAGGCGGTTTCTGATGACAAATGGAGATTCTGCTCCACATCGTTTCGTTCGGGCTCTCGACTCCACCTCGCAGCTGTGGACCATCCTTTCATCAATTCCACACCGCTCCTCACAGCTGGGAGCCGGGCATTGTCGGCACCCTTCACTAGCAGAAGGTGCTCGCTGCCTGGCACCAGGGACCATCTTCTTTTCAAGAGAGATCCTGATGACCCAAAGTCTTTTGGACACCTATCAGGGCCACAGCACAGCTGCGCCTTTCTGTACCACCACGGACATTCTTTTCCGTGCTGAATTGAAGGCATTCGTGGCCAAGACCCGATATTGCAGATCCTTGACTGAGCAGGTCTGAACGCTCCCCGGAACTGCTCTGACAAGTGCTTTGACTTAGAATTGCGACTATGAAGAAGCACAAGACATTAGGAATGGCTTTTCAAGAAGCGGGCACCTGCTTCCTGTCGGGAATGCAACCCAGGGGCTCGAGCTCCCGAGCCAGAGCTGTTGTAGTAACTGACTGTGAGTTCTGTGCCTCTTCCTCGGCCCAGGCTCGCAGATGTTGGATTTGCTCAGGCTGCTAAGTCCAACAGGATTTGGGAGACCACAGGACAAGAAACTCTTGACGTTGGGAGGCGACAGGCTGCATGCCACAACAAGCCGTAGCCAAGATGCACACTGCAACACCGACCCTGAGGCCGCAGCTGAAGACAACGCTTACTCAAGATTGGGGCAGGTAAATTCAGGTCTCGCAAATCCCAGATCTTAACATGCTATTACAACGGAGTCTTCAATACAAGACAACATGGCTAGAGGAACACAAACGAAAACTGGGGCGAGTTCCATGTACCCACGACGAGCATGACATTATGGAAACAGCACAATGTGTGCTGTAGCCTCAGTGACTTGCGAGCCATGCGTCTTGCTTTGAACTCCCAGCCTTGGCTGGCAGCAGCCTTGAACAGTGCGGGGATTCGTCCGGGTCTCTCGGGCCAGGCTTCAGGCTTCGATGCTGAGCCCTGTACCCTTCAAAAATCGAATGCCTTGCGAAATTGGAAACGAAGTTGATTTGCCTAGAGAGAGAATGGCAAAGTTAAAACAGCTATCTGCCTATGCCGGGTTGAAACCGCAGGGTCTTGGCAAACGTCAATCATGACTGAGAGCACTCATCCTCGGGCTGAACCCTCAAGCCTGAAACCTCATGGAAGAGAAGTGGCAACATCTGATCCAGGATCAAACTTGGTGTAGTGTGCTTCGCTTGACACACACACACACAAGTAGAAGTAATGTATGTAGGTATGTATGTATGTATGTATGTATTTATGAATGTACGAATGTATGTACGTATGCATGTCTGTACGTATGTAAGTATGTAAGAATGTATGTATGTACTTATGTACTTATGTAAGTATTAACACATCCATAAGTGCATGGGTTTACTTTCATGTATGTGTGCGTGTTCGTATGCATGTAATGTATGTATGTGATGTATGTATGTGTATATGTACGTATGCATGTACGTACATATGCATGTAAATACCCATATACACATACACACGTACATACATACATACATACATACATACATACATACATACATACATACATACATACATACACACATACACACATACACATATACATGCATAATATGTAGTACGGCCATTTTTATTGAATCCTTCAGCGATTTCCCGGCCCGAGTGCAAAGGACGCCTTCACTAGTGCGAACTCGTCGGGACTTTCGGCTTCGTAGTTCCTGGGACTCGGGTGAATCGTGGGGGCCAGGCTATGAGAGGAAAGAGGGTTACTCAGAACCGATGATCTCTCCTTAAACCGAACCATCCCCCAAACGATGCCTTCCAAACCAAAGGTCCCGGTGACCATGAGCGAGCCCAAAACATCAAGACCGACCAGAATAGCACGGAAGAACCCTGCGCAAAGATACAGAAACCGATGAGAATGCAAGGCGAGACAACGGCCCGAAGAAACAACCACAACTCGACTTGCTTTGAAGCAACCCTCGTCATGCCTGCCTCCCCCTGTGAAGATGCCGCACGGGACTCTCAATTCCCGAAGCCAACAATGGTTGGATTCCGCAGTTTCTACAGAGGCCAAGTTGCAGCCCACCGTCCTCCAAACGAACAAGCATCAGTGCATGTGGTGCAGACCATCTAAGAAAATAATGACCCGTCCGGCTTGCTAGCCCTGACTTTCCTCTTAACCTGCGCAGCAGCAGTTTTCCCCAAGCCCTCCATCATACATTCTTGACCGGGAACACTGACCAAGGTCCTCCCGGCTAGTCACCATCACCGTGTGCGAGACCTGGGTCAGCGCAGAAAAAGGCAACAAACCAACAGCTGCTGCACGACACTGAGTTCGCCCCACCGTGTGGTCACTGCCACGACGAACGCGGCCACCACCATCACTGCCCCACCCCCCAATGCAAACACGCTGGCACAACATGGTCAGAAAACACACCTCGTTGATATGAGCACGGTATATAGGCCACCTAGGATGTATTCCAAACCCCTCGTGGCGCAGAGCTCCGTGGTGACACCATCCCCCTCGCGCTCAGGAGGCAGCTGCGAGCACTTCCAAGAAGGCATCGATCTCTCGCGCCTTCATAGCCATGCCTCTCGCTGCCTTTCACAAGCGCATGAATCTACAACAACTGGTGACATCAACGATCACTAGCAGGATAGATAAGGCATAATAAGGCTCTTGTTGCAGCGGAGGTATTGGCAGATACAGTATCGGACTTGCCTTGCCTTCATTGTAGTGTTTGTCTGAATCACTCTGCTAAGATCTAGGTGAAAGGTTCGTGGAAGAAGCGCTTCTTCGACTGTGCGACTGCCCTGCAACATCCCGAATACTGTAGTACGGAAAAACAAGTACTCTCTTCTACAGCCATCCGAAACATCAGACAACATCAGAAATACCTAATCAATTCTAAACCCTCGAGGCATAGGTCTCTTGAAGAATCGTCGGGAGATGCCCTACCGGAGTGTCTTCTAGCAATCCGTCTACAGCCTAAATACAACTTTGCTGGGGCTCTGATGAAGAGGCCCTGGATACTGCCATTAATCATTGCTAGCTGCTAAATTTTAAATGCTGACGCTGCTGCAGGATACGGGAAGGAAGCAGCAATGGTAGAGCGAACATCGCCCATCTCCCCCGACTGCCTGGAGCTCACGGCCGCCGTCGAAGCCGTCCTAAGACACAGAACGGGGGCTACGTCGCATTCCAGTCGCCGCATGGGAGGACGGAAGGAACCGCCTCACACTACATAAACCCCGCACGGCTAGCAATGGCCCACGTTGCCTTGAGCCGGATAATGTTCCCCTCCTATATCCGTGGATGCCTGTTGCAACCGTAACTGGCAGCGGTACAGCCGCAGCAAGCACGATTTGAGAAGGGCAGGATTTGCCTAAACCTGCAACCAGCAGCCAAATCATGGATGCCTAACGCCATGTTTAAGAATCACTATGAAACCTCTTCCTTTCCAGACTATTAGAACCAAGGTACCCATGTCGCGTCATCCGACTTTTCGGCCTCAGGGAATCCGGATCACTCACTCTCCGTGCATCCTAATCCGATTTATCGCTCCACATCCGACGAACGCACCACTTCCAGTCTCATCATCTTCGTTTTGCTCGTCATTGTCCTCGTCGCCATCACCATAATCGCCAACATCATCGTCATAATCCTCATCCTTTTATCGTCGTTCTCGTGATTGCCCTTGTCGCCATCGCCGCCATCGGTATCATCCTGATTTGTAACATTAATCACCACCATCATCATCAGCATCATCATCATCATCACCATCATCATGATCATCATCGGTCAATGTCATCGGCATCGTAGGCATCGCCAGCAGCAGCAACAGCAGCAGCAGCAGCAGCACAGCAGCAGTATCAGCAACAACAACAACACCAACACCAACACCAACACCAACACCAACAACAACAACAACACCAACACCAACACCAACACCAACACCAACACAGCAGCAGCAGGAGCAGCAGGAGCAGCAGGAGAAGTATTGCCTCCTCCACTTCTCATTACCAAACATGACGTGATCGCTCTTCGTGAGGCCTCAGCACCAGTCGAGATAGAACTACGCCGACGACACCGAACCGCGCAGATCTCTGACTTGCAAATTTCATCGACGCGTGGCTTGCACTGACATCTCGAAGGCAAGCATACCGCGCGCAGACCCACACCCAGAAGCCCGAGAAACCAGGAGCATTTTGGACCACATGCGCCTGCGGGCTGCTCTGGAATGTCCCAAACTTCTGCCCGCCGATGGAGACACGCCTCGCAGGCGTCCCCAAGCCAAGCTTAAGCTTAATCGCAGTGCTTCGATTGTTCGAGCTTGCCTCTTTTGTTGCCCTGGCCACATGTGCAGCTTCCATGCGCGCAGATTGCAAACTGAATCGGCAAATCCAAGGCAGGCCTCAAAGCCATGTCGTTTTGTGTCAAGGTTCCTGGGCGGGCCAGGTCGACTGGAACGTTAGCTTTGACCCTCGGCTAAACGCACCCTCATTGTCGCTCAGACTCAGACCTGCGACCTTGATTCCAGCTCTCCTGCCCTCTAAGATAACCCTGCGGTCAGCCTGTCTTGTCCGAGAAGATGTATCCGACCTCCCAAGCCGAAAGGGACAAAAGGGGGCCAGGAGGCCGCGCGCGGTTGCAGGTGGGAGTTGAGCAGGCTGCACACCCGCGCAGAAAGACACACGCACACAGAGACACAGACCTAGTTAGCCTGCCTGGCTTGCCTATCTATCTACCTCGCTCTCACACACAGGCGAGCGTGAATCCGGGCCTGTCCCAGCTCTTGGCACAGATTCGAACTCCGAGTAACAGCTGCGAAGGGCTTGCCCTCATTGAAGCCCGGTGCTTTGTAGCACCTTCATGCAGACACGTAAACTTGCTGCTCAACTTGATCTTTGACCTCCTCGAGCCACGAGCCACGAGCCACAAGCCATGGCTCGGGGACTTAGGGACCCAGGGGTTGGGTCTGCGAAGCGAGCTTGTGGAAATCGAGGGTCTCAGCGTTACAACTTGGATTGCAGGCTCGGGGTTACAGGGTCTGTCCGTAATGCCCTGGCGAGATCAGTGGAACTCCGCGTGCACACTCTGCTTGGAGCGTTCTGATTCTATCGCAGCGTCAACACAATACACCCCATGCCATGTCAGCGAACACGTGCCCAGACCATTGCTGAGCAAAGCCTCAAACGGCCCCGTCACGATGATTTGCCGGCAAGAAGCATCCTCTTATCCTGCTGGATCGCTCGGCACCTGTAACTCCACGAAACTGCTGCGACTTGATGCTTGCATCTTGATCCTGTGGCAGTGTAATGCCTTCTTCAGTTGTGCTGGGCCTGCAGTCCCCATGCAGGGAGGGTTCTCGTGGGGCGAAGCTTTGGCAAATTCGGGAGGACCTGAGGCCGCTCAAAACTTATGCTGTCAACCGAAACGGGTTCATATGCCGTCTTGTCATGTATGATGCTTGTACTATATGTATGTATGCGTATGTCTAAACCTGTGTTTGCATAAAGGTGTATGTATGCATGTATGTGCATGTCTATGTATGCATGTGTGTGTGTGCGCTGCATAAGTGTTACATGTATATGTGTACATGTTGTACATAGCACCTAGATATACTTCTGTGTGAAAGCTATATAAATACATATTATACTACCACAACGTTCCCGTCGGAGGACTGGGTGGAGGAGTGTAAGGCGGAAAAGGGTTTGGATGGTGTTCAAGAGCAACATGCAAGAGTGCGACGAACTTTCGTCCTACCGCAGTATATGGTATATACAAGCTATGTATGTAAGCCTACCTGTACATCATGATGTGCAAGCGCATACATGTCCTGATGGCATAGCCACGGCTGCAAGTACCGCAAAGGGCTAGCGTTTGCGGTTCCCTATGAAGGACATTGCTTCCAGGCTAGTGGATCCGTTAACCAAGACATGCCTGCATGTTGTTAATGGCAACACGTTTTCATGTCTCGTTATGGATCTCATCTTTCTCATTAGCATTACATAGCATTCATTACTTAGTACTGGCTATGCTCGTGTTATTGCGTTCGTGTGTCTCTGTATGTGTGTGTGTGTGCGTGGGCGTGGGCGTGGGCGTGGGCGTGGGCGTGGGCGTGGGCGTGGGCGTGGGTGTGTGTGTGTGTGTGTACGCGCGTGCGCGTGCGCGTGCGCGCGCGTGCGTGTGTGCTCTCTGGCTTTGCTTAGGCTTCATCTTCTGATTGTTAGCCAGCATTGCGGAATCTTGCAGAAACCGAGGAGACATGTTGATTTGTTGAAACAATTCTAGACGCTAGACACAAGCAGGGCTTGTCAAGGTGCAGAACGAAGCAAGATTACAAGGCGGCCTCGCAACAAATGTAGGGATCCGTATTCAGACATCTCCATAGCGACCAAACCTTGTATGTTCCACTGACAACCTAATCGCGAAGAGCCTTATAAAGACCCTGAAGCCGGAACGTGAAGCCCAAAAAGCTGAAGACCTAAAACCCAACAACCTTCAACCCTAAACCCCAATTCCCTAAACCAAAGACCCTTAAATCCCTAAAAGCCCCTGAATCCCCAAGCCCCAAAGCCCTTGCAAGGTGCAGCTCCTCGGAGCCAGGCTCGACCATCTCCTCTGGGAGGCCCCTTTGGGAAGGAGAGGAGCCTTGAGGTGAAATGAGGGGTTGTTGTAAGGCGCTCTTTTGCCGCGTTTGGGGTTACATGAGGGTTGTATAAGTGGCTCTTTTGCAAGGTTTGGGGTTTAAGTGAGGGGTTGTATAAGGGGCTCTTTTGCAGGGTTTGGGGTCAAATGAGGGGTTGTATCGGGGGTTTTTACTCAGGTATGCTCAGGGTACCAGAAAGTTTCTTGAAGGGTTCCTCTTTTGGATCTCTAAGGGTACTTTGGGGGTACTGTTGGGGTACGAAGCGTACTCAAAGGGTACAAGTAAAGGGTGACTCAAGGGTTCTAGAAGGCGCCAATCTTATAGAAGGCTACTATCCTGGCCCTTGAGTGGATGGCTTATTGGGAATTAGAAGAGCCACCGCGCTGCACCCGAAAGCCCTTCGATATCTGACCTTCCACACCTTTGTGACCGACGATCCTATAAACCAGAGCAGGTGCCGACGAAGCACTGTCACGCCTGGCGGGGGCCTCGTGAGATCGAGGATGCTTCTGAGAGTAACGCCCCCTTCCGGGCCGGGCAAATGTCGAGTTGAGGAGCTCTGTGTTGGGATTTCTGCTGAATCAAACAGGTGAGGCACGGTGTTCTGATGTTAGCACGGATGCGTTTATACGGCTCATATCGAAGCTCGAGCACTGAGGTGCGCGAGGGCTACCCCGAAACGGTTGGTGCTGCGCCACAAGGCACACCAACGACCAGGCAACGGAAGGATGCGGTGCTTGTCATCACGACAGCACTAATGCTGTCATGCCTGCCATCAAGCCGCATGCCGAATACAAAGCCCCTCGAACTTGCCGCTTCAGTGGCGGGCTTATCACCGCTTCCCAGCAAAGTGCTGCATAGGGACATGTTTCAACGATGCAAGACGCCTGTCGCTCCTACAGGCAAATGTACGGCATGCAGGCCTATGCCGGCCAGGCCTGACCGTATCCTCAGTGCCTTCACAGACCCGAAGAGGTAATGGCAGAAAGGAAGGTCACTCGACTTTGCTTCAATGGTCGTATCATCATTGTCATCTCAAAATCCAGATTCTGACCACGTCGCATTCGGGACAGTTGCACGGATATGCCACCACATAGCATTGTCTGCATGTCTCACATCGGTGTAGATGTATCGATCGAGTGCGATGGGCCTGTAGCTAGCAGAATCGTAGAGACAACGAGAGCCAGACAGTTCCGGGGTGGTTTCAACTATTCTGAGTTCCGCATTTGCACTTGTTGCTTCTGTTCATGAACTGTACAAGTGCTCCTACCCGCAATCATATCGACAGGAGATGACACTCACTCACTGGAAAGCTTGCAATCACTGCTTCGTGGCCCTCGTCACGATGCTAAGGACAGTTACGGCATGTTACCTGTTATGCTAAATCAAGTCATTATCACTATCTTTGTTGTCTAAACAGACCTAAACATGTTTAAACCATGCACTGTAGCCTAAACCGCAGCAAACTGTCAAAGCTTCCGCAGGCCGGCTCACGCCCGAACAGCCGCTCGAGAGATCCTCCTCAACAACCGTCCCAACAGGCACTGCTTTGGATTCTTAGCCTGCGAAGCTCCTTCCACAACTGCAATCCTTGATGTGAGCGAACGGTGGCTCAATGATTGTTTGATCTCAATGCTGCTTAACGTCATACTGTATTGGTAGTATTGTTGTTATTATCGTTATTATTATTGCAGACTCCGTTCCTTGCACTCTTGACTGACTTGCCTGGTCGCTCCCTTTCGCTTTCCTGAGTTTCAACCGTACCGTGAATGTTGTAGCGTGTGGGTAGGGCGGTCCAGCTTCGCAGGAAGGTTTTCACAGTGGTGTGGCTCAACAGTGGCTAGTTCCTCAGTTTTGCTGATTTCCGCAGTTTCGGACAGCTTGAACTGCACCTGGAATGAGTACCTCCAAGTCATTGCAGGGTTCGCTGATGTTCCCTTTTTTTCACAACCTTCAGTTACAGCACCTTGGCAGCCACGTGGGCTCAGAGAGCACTCGAAGAGAGAAAGAGCTGCAAGATGGCCCGGGCTTTGCCTTCGGACTCAGGTGCAATGTCGTACCATACTGCTCAGACCTGCGCAACTGAACCCGAAGAAGCGCTGCCCTGTTAGTATACAAGGTACCATATTGCTATAGAGTGGCTGATCAGCCCTGGTGCAGAGAAAATGGCTGCTGCGGCTGCTGCAGCTGTGGGCGCGGTGGAGGTGCACGAGGAGGGTCCGTGGTGCAGCATGCATGTGCGATGCGCAGCATTTGAGCCGCTTCAATCCAACTCACGGGTCCTTCGCCAGTTTTCAATCGGACCAGTCAGTTTGTTTTCGTTCATATGGTCCTGCAGGCGCTTCTTGTCGGGCTGTCACAGATATCGTATATACAAGCAACAGACACAAGCCGCGATTGGTCAGTCATGTGTGCTTTTGCATGCCAGGTGCTGATTCTGCGTTCGCGGTGTTTACCTGAACTTCTAGATTCTAGACACCATCAGTGGCAGGACAAACCTCGGGTTGGATAAGGGGCTCAAGCCAGCTGCAGGACTTCTTTGCAAACCCAATTGTCTGATTCTCAGTCATGGGCTTGCAGAGCTTTATCCGCTGCAGATGGCGAGCTCGGTTCACACGTTGACAGTTGTGACGTGCATCCTTGATCTGACAGCCTCCCCACTGTCTTGCAGAGCGTGGATGTCATGTTGTCTTCGCTGCTCTGAGGTGGACGGTGACTATCCGGACCCCGGAGCAGCATGGATTGGCGACCGCTACTACTTGGTAGCAACAGGCGGTGGCCCGCAAGGCTCCTGTGATCTCTCTTAGAGTGAGCTCTCACGTCCTGCTGACAGATCGCCGCTTGAGTGGACCTGTCCAGGTGCCTTCCGCATGCTTCAGTCTTCTGATTTGGTGCATTGGGAGAGCTGCGGCCAGGCGGGCCATGCAGTGCCCTGCGAAGCTGTGGGATTGGCATGCCACCGCTGATTATGAGAGTTGTACAAGAACATCTGACAGATGAGACGACGCAAATCAGAACGATCGCCACAAGCACAACCAGTAGCAAGCCCTGACGACCACAGCGGCGTCAGCAATCGCAGCAACACCAACAAATGGGTCATCGACATCAGAGTAGCACCTCAGAGTCAGAAGCGATGAGATTCCAACACATCGTACAGGATTCTTATATCGTTAGCCCCAAACCGTTCTCCTCCAGGTGTTCTCCTCCAAGAGCCTTCCTGTCTGGAGTGGGGGAGCCCATGGCGAGCGCAAGCCTCAACGCAAAGCGGGTTCTGATTCGAACCGATGGACCATGGATACTGTGAATGGTGAGTTGAGGGATGCTACCGGGCCTTCTTTGTAAAATTTAAGCGGACAACATGTTTGTATGTGTCGCATAAGGAAGTGCGACTACTGGGCCCCGGAGATACACCAGCAGCTTGTCAGCAAGTCCCGACCGTCGCATGCTTGCACAGTCCGAAGAGTCAGGCTGCCAAGCGGCAGGAAAGCCGTCTTCTTCAGTGCCCGCGAGCCAGCGCCGGGCCGAGCCTTGCACATTGGTAGCTTGGCTGCATTGTCGCATTTCACCTGCTTTAGCCCAGCAGCCAGAAGAGTGACTACAGCAGCATCCGGAGCTTGCAGACAGCATAAGGCATAAGTGTACGTGTATGTATGTGTATGTATGTGTATGTATGTATGTATGTATGTATGTGTATGTATGTGTATGTATGTGTATGTACTTGTATGTATGTGTATGTATGTGTATGTGTGTGTATGTGTGTGTATGTGTGTGTATGTGTGTGTATGTGTGTGTTTGCATGCATGCATGTATGTATGTATGTACGTACGTATGTACGTGTGTATGTATGTATGTATGTATGTATGTATGTATGTATGTATGTCGAGCCACGCACAGCAACCGAGAGGGAGGGAGAGAGGGAGGGAGAGAGAGCGAGAAAAGCAAAAAGTGAGAAAGATAGAAAGGCAGGTAGGTAGGTAGGTAGGTAGGTAGGTAGGTAGGTAGGTAGGTCGACAGATGACATGAGCACTCAGGCGTTGCCACATCGGACAAGGCAGAAGGCCCCTATCAGGACATTGGCGAACCCCTGGTGAGCGATCCCCATTGGGCTATTGATGCGATGCTCGGAGAAGAATTATTTGAGTGGGCAAGAGAGCACTAGATTCACTAGATCAGAACTGAACAGCAGTACAATGGCAAGCTTGATCGTGCTGTTGCAAACCATTGGGGTATAAGCCTCAAACTCAGACAGCCATGTATGTTCGTGTCTTTGCCCTTCCTGCACCTTCCTGCCAAGTACCATGCGTGGCTCAGGTTATTCGACCATACGGACACACACTAGGAGCCTCGGGAACCAGTAAGACATTCCTGGAGAGTCCCTGTCCCCGTACAGAAGGCTTTTTTCTTGCCATTGGGCCGCATCTACTTTAAGGACGTATTTCAACGATCATGAAAGCGGCAAGCAGTATCTGCTTTGGAAGATCGATGGGAACGCACACAATGTCCCTTCCGCCATCAAGATACGTGACTGTGCAGCACTTGTGCGATGTCCAGCTAAATGTGTGCCACTCGGAACGCCACAGCTGCCTCTGGACCTGACGGCACGAGACCTGCTGCATGCACGCAAACACATCGCTTCGGCAACAAAAAACAGACTGCCGTCAACTTGCCGGATGACAAGGAGAGCTCGATACGACCGCCGGTTGCACTTTGGCCACCGGCTCAGAAGTGACTGGACTGTTTTAGACCTTGTGCTTTCCTGGCTTTTAAGCACCTTGGGGGCAGAGTTCCTGGACAGCTTTACGATTCTTTAAAACTTGAAGAGGGAATAGGCAACACCAAGCCGATTCACAGACACATGTTCGGCTTTCGTAGTAGCTAGCACAAACATCCCCAAAGCCAGACTACCACAATCAAGAGCATAAGAGCAATAAGATCTTGGTGAAGAGCAGGTGCATGAGCTTATCCGCAACGACTTGCCATGGGAAGGCCCAGTCCCTGTGTTTGGATTTAGGGTTTCAGGCCATGTCGACGTTTGCTGGGTCCTTTTAAACCCTAACCCCCAAACCCTAACCCTCGGCCCTGGAAGACAAGCATTGCAACGCTGTTGTCGATGGCGCGTAGCTGAAGCCAGAAAATGGTGGATCCAGGGGGTACATATATATATTTATTTATTTATTTATTTTCATACATACATACATACATACATACATACATAATTGGTTTACATATACATATATATATACATACATACACATCCATATATCAAGCATGCATAGCTGCATTTCTGAATGTGTAGGTGTGTGCACACGCTTACTGGTTACGTGCGCTGTGCAGGGTAATCAATGTTAGTCGCGGCATAGTGCTCAGTGCACATGGGGGGTTCACAAAATAAGGGACCCTAATTGAATCTAGATAATCGCATCCGTATGTTCCGCATGTCGGGTCCAAATGTAAACTTCTCATCTCACAAGTGGCATTCTTACGCGGTGCCAGGTACCGTAGTGGAGGGGCCATTCTTGATCAAGCGCGGCGGCTTCTACTACCTGTCACCTAGCTTGAATCTGAAGCATTACTTTTAACTTCCCCGAACGGCTCAAGCACAACATTGCCCGATGTCATCGAGCTCTTCTCACGCACTGGAGCCCTCGGTATACAGACCCCGAAAAAGCTTCAAAAGATTCTAGCTGAGAGATGGATGGTGTCAAGTCCAGTGTTGCAGAAACTCTGAAAGTCGCAAACCATCGCCGGGCCCTGAAATCAAGACCTGCGACAAAAACAGAATTCACAGAACGGTCACAGTAAAGCTCCGAATAGGGCAGATTTCAGAGGAGATGTCCATCCGGCTCATGGTCGTATGTCCACACAATAGGAAACGCCAAGCCCTGGCGGATGTTGTGACCTTCAGCCCGAAATGTTCATGCCAATGCAGTACAGTATGATCAGCGTTTCACCTAAGCCCTGAACCGATTGCAAGCCCCCAAGCCCTACAGTCCGAATATCCTAGTATTTTTTATATTATATATTATATACTGTATTGTAACTATTATATATATATATATACATATATATATATATTATAGATGTATCACTATGTATCATATATTATATATCATTTATTTTAGATTATGTATTCTATATTTTTATGTTATATATCTTATTCTATTTATTATGTATTATGTATTACTGTATGTATTACATATTATATATTATATGTTAGATAGTATACATTATAGTATATTTAGGTCAAGAGCAGATCTCTCGATCCTTGCTTGCCTCCTCCGGTCCATCGGCCGGTCTTTCTGCTCGCATTTCCAGGTTCTACTCCGGGGAGTGCTATGGGAACCACCGGTACTGCGTGGGTGTGGCTCGGGCGGAGCAGGCTGGAACATGATAAATTTTGTTTAGGGGTTTAGGGCTTAGGGTTGCAACTGGTTCTTGAATTGCTTTAATTACCAGTAGTCGTGGTGTCCTCGACGCAGCAAGCAGCAGAAATTCAATGTTGTTTGAAGGACGACGTTGCCAATGACATACAGTTCTTTCTCGCAGGTCCTTTTGCAGCCTGCACATCCGCAGTTACCGTCATCACAGCACTCTGCAAACTTGGTACATCGCCACCCCGAATCATTCAACTTTAAACTTGGAATCCCGGAGCCCTCCTAACCTTCTAGACACCTTGCGGAGCTCAATCTGGGATCACTCGAAATTCGCCGAGCTGACGAGGTGTTGGGGCCCTACGAAAAGGCTGCTGCACCTGTTCTTTCAAGCGGCCGCGGCTTTGCCGGGCCTGGGCACTGCGTTGTCGTCGCCGCGCCGGGAGGGGATGTCTCTCGGAGCAAAAGATGCAAAAGATAGGGTTTTAGGGTTTCGGGCAGCCACGCTGTAGCCCCAATCATACGAGGCAGTACAGTATAGGTTCTGACCCCATGACCCTTTTTGATTCAATTTATTATGCGTACAACTCTCCAGTGCAGTTTCGCAGAAAAAACACTACGGGCATTTCGGAATGCCTCTTGGGCCACCATGACGAACCATTTCTATGTGTAGCCTCCATCCCACCGCCTCGGTCCTTCTTGGCGCGCAACTGGTAACCATGGAAACCAACGCGCAGCTGCCTATACATATATATATATAGATATGTATATATATATATATGGGTCATCTACTAAATACTTTTCATGTCTGTCATAGGTGTTCGCATTATGGTGGGACTGTTCTTCGCTAGCTGCTGGCAGCTGCCAACCCGTCTCTTCATCGCTTTCATGACCCGTGGGCACGATCACTTGTTCCTCATACGTACGACTTAGGACAAAGAGCATACAAAAGCACTCATACATGATGTGTTCATACAAAGCTGATGCATGTGGTTTACTTGCAGAAACACGTATGTGTGTGTGTGTGTGTTTGTATATGTGATATATATATATGTATATATATATATAAATGTACATATGTCTGCATACACCCTTTTGTGCACATGCGGATACATTTGTGAACATATATATATATACACATACTTGTAATTATATGTATATACATACATACACACATGCAATATACATATAGAATATATATATATATAGCGAAAAATATACATACATACATACATACATACATACATACATACATACGTACATGTGTATATATATATACACATATAGATACATATATATATATATGTATATATATGTATATATATACACACTGACCGACATTTTCACAATCTACATAGACTGCACTTCTATGCTGAGCAGTCACCAGGTCATGGTGTACCATGCCTGGCCTTCGGAGAGCCCTGGTGGCCGGGGCTCGCGCGGCGCGAAGCGGCAGGCCGGCTGTCCGAAAACCCACGAATCTACCACAATACCCCGAAGCCCATGTTATACCCAAAAGCCCCGTTCGAAATGTTAAAGCCCGCATACTAGATGCGAATGCCGCAATGATGAAGATGAATGCATGCAGACACGATGATGCAAGCGCAGGTTGGCTGTGTATATGTATGTGTCTGTGTGTATATATACATATACATATATATATATGTGTGTGTTTATACATATTATATATATATGTATGTATGTATCTCTCTATATATATATATGCATATATGCATGCATTGTTCCACCCATGCAATATGTGTGTTTGTGTCTGAGTGTGCGACTGCGTATCTATCCGCAGGTGAACATTTGCGCGCACACACACACATGCCGAACTACATGCATATGTGACAGACATACTGACAATGTAAGGCTAGGTTGGTTGGCTCATGGCGGTTCGCAATTTAGGTCTTGGTCCTTCTTGCTTTTGTGGGAACCGGTCAGGCGGAGCTAGAACATCGCTAGCGAACTCCGGGCAAGCCTGAAGCTAGGAGGCATGAAGACGGAGATGGCCTGGGGCGCTAGGATACTTAATAAGCGACATATACATACCGTATTCAAATTGGCTGTCTCATCATATTGCACACCCGGGGCGAGTGCTTCCATGCAGCATGGTTCAACTTTCTAGACTACACTGCACCCTAATACAACTCCTTCCCCGGGTCGAGTCATGTACAAGGACGAGTAATCCTGGTTGCACAGACCGAAGAAAAGCAACAGCACGTCTCGGTTGCAGCTCCCTTTAAACCGGTCAAGAGAGCCCAGCTCGGTTTACACAAGACTCCGCATCGTGCTCACAATCGTCAAAACCAATGTCAGGTGCTGGCAGAGCGCGTGACATGGGAGCACCGGGGCGTTTTGGTTGAGACTTTACAGTGCCTTTATGCCAGCCAGATCCCGCTAGCACAGTTGATACTTGTACAGCAGTTCTTCTTCCAATGCTTACACTGCGACAATGGCAATGACAACATTATTACATTATTGGCGACTGCAACTCCCACTGATAGTCCAAGCGCCTTGTCCAACTACTGCTGCTGCTGGTACTGCTGCTACTACTACTTCTACTACTACCTTTACTACCACCACCACTACTACTACTACTACTACTACTACTACTCCAACTCCTACTACTGCACACCACCAAACCACTCCTATCACCCCTGCGACTGGGGCGACGACGGCTGCGACGATGACGACGGTGAGGAAGGGGAGGAGGAGAAGGAGGAGGACGACGACGACCAGCACCACCCCCAACAACACTCCGGCCGGCACCACGACGACAACATCGGCCAGGGCCATGAACCCCCTCCACTCCTGCCGCAGCCAGTCACAACGACGGTGATCCAGCCCCCTGAAGGAGGATGGTTGGCCTTGTGTCGGCTGCGGCGTGCCAACGACCGGACCACAGCGACTTTGCTGAGAAAGTATTCCAGCGGTGGCAATAGGAACAGGAGTTGGTTCAAGGTCGCGTCTTTTCGAGTTTATGTTGTCAATGTTGTCCTTACCCGTAAACCTGACAGAACTGCCATTTCGACGATTTGCAGGATGGTTTGCATGCTCCGTTCAGGCCGTCCCCACATCAGCGGGCGGAGCCGAAACGCCTCCTGGTACCTGGCCGTGGCCTCGAAAATGGCTGCCAAACTCTGGAGAACGAATTCACCGAAGACATGTAATTATGTCCCCATTATAGTCCTAGAATTATAGGAGGACGAGCAAGGGATCCGCCTCCAAGTTTTCTGCTAACTCACCATGCCCAGAGACTAACACACAATGTTTACTTAGTTTAATTCATGAAACATGATGAAAATAATGTATAATGTATACTATATGCTAGTTGACACATAATACGAGGTGTGTGTATATATATATATCTATCTAGATATACCATATAAGGTATTCGACGTAAGATCTATAACATACGGTATGTTATATATATATATATTATATATGTGTGTAACATGGTATGTAATTATAGCTTAACATACATAACACATGGTATATAATTTGTAATATATAGTGCTTATATAATATGTAGTTTACGAAATCTAGTATATAATATCAAGTATATAACATATGAAAGATAACATATAAGATCTAACATACGACATATAAAATGGCAGATATCATATATCGTCTAAGAACACACACTCTATCATATATCATACAGAAATATGAGCTGATACGGTAGAAGACGTAATGTATAATTGTATTAAGTATGATCTGTAATATACAACAGACAACACAGAGTATAACAGAGACTAAGGCAAGGTGTATCGCCTCAAGGCTTCTCAGGACAGCCTGCTGTGGCCGCTGCAATTGCTGTGCTAGAAAGGGTTTGCATCGGGTGAGTCGGTTGATGCACCTTTAATTTAGGTTGCAAGCCTTTGCTGTGCAGGACTGGGGCGTGTACCTGGGCTATGAAGGCAAGCTGACAAAGTCCAAGGATGAGGCTGCGCCGAATTCGATCCCCCCTGGAAAGCAGCCGACATGTGCAGTTTGTAAGAACGACACCACTCCGATTCGGCCGGTCGTAGAGTGCATGTCGCAGCTTCGCCAGCAGTGTAAGTTGTGATTGACCAGACAGGCCTACGTCGTCCGATCTGGCCTGAAGCCGGGCGGCACTGTGAGTCTGGAGGCCGCCGTGAGAGCGCAGCGACCGGAAAGATTTCGGACTCGTCCAGAACGCCGAAAGGACGGACTTTGAAAGGACGCTGGTCTTGCACATGATGCAACAAAGATTTTGATACAGCCATCCTAATTGCGGTACCTATAACCCCACGTGTCAGTTACTTACTACATCCCCTGACCCCGACATGGTTTTCTCCATGGAACTGAAGTGTCTCGCAGGCAGCGAGCCGTCCAGGTCATTTCCTGAGGCAGCGGCAATACTGCAGCGACTCAAAGGGTTATGGGGGCTTCAATCCGTTTTCTGCACCTGCATGCAGAGGAGCCACTACTGGATGCCTGAAAGCAGAATCCTTCAACGCAGAGCTTGCAAGTCCTCGGCATTATGGGTTCCACTGACAGGAATGCTGTTATCCGTAGCAAGCACTGGTAACCCCAGTACTAGTGATAGCACTTGGCCCTATGAGCCTAGTAATTTTCCTTGAGCCGATCGGCCGATGTCGCTATTGTGCCTTGCAGAGCCGCATATGAGCATAATTGGTATATTACGACTTTTGTGATTGGGCGGCACCATTGCTGCAGGCACCGGTGTGGCAAGCTGGAGCGACTTGGACTCTAGTGAGCACTTCGTGGTATGCTCCACAACCCTTGTTCCGAGTTCCCGCAATTCTTAACCCCGCAAGCCCCTTCAGGGGATTCTTGCTTGAGTTGAAGGTTCGCACACATGGACTTTACATCCAGGTCGGTCGTTCAGGGTCGCGAGCCTGAACCAGACAGCACTTCAATAAAATCATCTGCACGTTTTTCATGGCAGTTCGTGCTGGCATTCAAGCCCTCGTGAACCGCCCAACGGTTTCATTGGAGCAGCAACAGCCATGAGGCACGACTGCAATTGCAGGTGGATAGGCAGGCATGTCAACAACAAGACATGCTGACGAATGATGTTCGCGTCGTGTACTGCCTGTCAAGATGCTGGAGATCCACTTCAGCACAGGCATGGTAAGAAGTAGAAAAGTCGACGAACGCCAACACCCTAAACTCTGGCATCTAGACCACAAAACCCTCCACCGACGCCTAGACACGAAGGCTTAATGCTGCGGAGACCTCGCAGCTTTTTCAATTGGATGCCTCCTGGTTCCTTGTGCTTTAATAATTAACAGTTGGGTTTACGATTTTGCATTAGGGTCGAGGACTTGAGGTGTTTGGGGCTTAGGGTTTTGAATCTCGGTTCTTGGAGTGCGAGGGTTCCGAGTCAAGTCCGGATCTGGTGGTACCGCATTGCAAGCGATCATGATATGAGATGTGTTCGTACCCAGCACTGTAAGCCATCGACTGTCAAGTAAGCCAGTGCAATGCAGAATGGCCCGGAAGCACCTCCCATCCCCAATCCATCCCAAACCCGGAACCCCAAATCCGCCAGAGCAACTCCCCAACTTTGCATATAATGCAAGCCTGCAGAGATCTCAGAGCCCTTCCGCGCCTGAGTTATCAGAACTCACCTGTTTCGAAGCACCTGATCATCTTATGTAACTCCTTTGTCTCAGTCTTAGGCTAGACCTTCCACCCAGGAAGCCTAAACCTTAAACCCCTAAAC